AGATACAAAGTTGTCAGCTTCTGCACGCCGCGGGAGAGATCAGTAACAGTAAAGAGGACAAAGATGATGACGGGAGCACAAGGACAGTGAAACTGGAGTGTCGCGGTGGACAAAATAAAGACGCGGGTTCAGAATGGACGCTGTCCAGGAGAAGAGGGTTTATATTAAGTGTGTGTACTGCTGTAGCAAGTGCATTTCCCCACTGTGGGATTAATCAAGTCTATTCTATTCTATATTAGGGTAAACTTAGTGAAAGAGTGAATAAACATGAAATATGTTTTAGTTTAAAACCTTGCACATCTTTAAAGTGTCAGAAGAATTGAGCCGAACCGCAAAAACTCAAGTTTCAGAAAGTTCAGCAAGTTTCCGGACACTTCTTCTTCTTTCAAGGTCAGTTTGTAACTAATCAAGATGCACTCACTCCCCCTTCACACACTCAAACACACAAAGTGGCTGTTTATGAAGACCACCAACGTAAATAATTATTTATCAAGCAGCAGGCAATTTACACTTATGGCTCGTTCTGTTTTCTCTCCCGTTCCCGTTTGCACACACTTGTATGTTGGCACCATTTTACCCCCTTCTCTTCTCCGAAGTAGCCTGCTCTCTATCTAAAGTGTGTTTTGCCAAAGGCAAAGTGCATTTCCATACATTTCCATTCGATATGAGGAGGCTCTCCATCCAGGGTTATGTTTTTCCTCTAATGCTTCCTGCCTCTCCCCAACCGCCGTCTTCTCTCTTTCTCTACCTCTTCTCATCACGCTTGCTCTGCTCGCTCTCTCATTCCCATCCCCTGCTCTACACCCTGCTTACTTGCTCGCTTCAGGGGTCCCGAGAAGAAGTGACATAAACAATTACTGACCAAGTACCAGGGAGAGAAACACTTTCCCTTTGTGTGCGTGTTTGTTTCGGTATCTGCATCTGTGCTCTTACAAGCGAGATATCAAAGTTAGAGTGACGCGGTGAATAATTGAGGTTTGATCGATCTCAGCCATTCCCTTTGTGTCTTTTCGACCTGCTTCCTGCACACCTTTAATGCAAAAGCTCCGCTGTAAACATCCATGTGCCTCATCACAGCCTCCCCTTTGCTCCCTTCTCCACCTCATTCTTTCTCTTTTTGACACATGCATGCTCACTCCTCTCACCTCCTGGTACATTCCTGCTGAATAATCAATTTCTGAGCTGGCTGATGTGACTCAAACACACACACACACACACAGAGTCACGCACATGCACAGACGCTGCCTTGAGACGGGATCGATACCCCTCTCTGTTCTGCTGAAGGAGGCATTGACATCATTCCTGGCCTCAGGCCAAACACGCTCTTATCCTTCAGAAAAAGAGAGGGAGGGAGACAGGGACCAGAGCACGGAGAGAGGAAAGCAAAGAAAGAGGGGCACCGCTCGCTTTCAGGACACAAATTGGCCTGTGGACTCGGCGGCGGTGTGTGTTTTCATGTGTTCGTTGGTGTTACACATATGTGTCTCCTCAGGGTAGAGGAGAGTAAGTTAAGGATGAGACTGGCAGCAGAACCAGCAGCAAACCCAATCATCGACTTGTTTTTCCACTGCAGCCTCTTACCTCTACCCCCTGGACTTTAAGCTTCATATGATCCTCTCGGGTGGTCTTCCCGTCTTTCCTTTTCTTCCAGCAGTAGCCATCTTTCCTGTACTTCACCTTTTTACGGTTGTAGAGGATCATAGAGCCATTCTGAGGCCTAATGGAGCACAGGAGAGAGAGAGACAGAGAGAGAGAGGAGGGAGACAAAGTGTCACACGGGTCACAAGGAAAGACGGTTAAGTGTGACGAAACACACAGCTGATGCAAACATTTTAAAAGTGACAAAAACCTCCACAGCCCTGCTCAGCTTACATGAGCACAGTGTTCCAAGTGACGTCAGCCCACAGTCACATTAGTGTGTCTCGTGTGAACTCCCCCTCACACACACACACACACACACACACACACACACACACACACACACACACACACACACACACACACACATCAACATGTTAATATTTTAGTAGGGTGATTTACTGGCACAGCGAGAACATTGGCCTCTAAGCTTCTTTTCAATACACACCTGGTGGGATGAACACACACGCACACACACTAACACACAGGCCCACCAAGAGTCATACATGAACAAAGACGGAGATGTAATAGTGATATGAGACGTGGCAGGACCTACTGCTGTGTCTTCTTTGGGCTCAATGTCAAACCTGCTGCTCGGCAATCAATCATTACGCTTTCAAACATTAAGGACAGGTGTGTGTGCGTGCGTTTGTGTCTGTGTGTGTGTGTGTGTGTGCGTGTGTGCGTGTGTGTGTGTGTGTGTGCGTGTGTGTGTCAGGGGGAGAAAAATGCCTCTGTGGCTTATCTCATGACAACAGAAAGAGAGAACAGACCAGTTAATGATCAATAAACAAACATATAGACGCTCATCTTCTCGCTTCTGACTATCTTCCTACCCCAAAAAACAAACTCTCTTCTTTATGTTTCCCTCATCTCCTCATTTAATTTTAACTCCCGCAGCTCCTCTGCGCTCCTCTCCAGCGCTCCTAACCTCCATCTCCTGACCTGCCTTCCTCCTCTCCTCTTGGAATTTGATGTCGACACATCTATACGGACTGAGATGATTGCAGCGCGCTCAGAACACAGTGTGGAGTGAAATTGAATTTACTTTGAGCTGATTTTCTCTGACACTTTAAATCTGTTCTGTTTCTTTTTTTTTTTTAGGGTGGGCGGGTGGGGGAAACAAGCCTTCCAGTTTCTTGGTGGAGTGGAGAACCCCACTGCACTCCCCCCAATCAAAGCCAAGTATAGACTGTCTCGAGCGGCGTGAGTCATCTTAGAGCTGCTGATTCTAATTATGTTACGGAGAAGATGGATAGGATCAAACGTGCGCTTTTTTCCGTGCGTGTGTGGGTGGAATGTACGTTCACATGTTCCTGTGCACGTGGACGGTGCACCATGTTCCCCGCAAACCCTGTGATTCAAGCAGACATAAATGCTATTGATTGTAACTAGGCTGTGATGTGTGGGATATAAAAAGCTTTTCAACCGTTCCACAGTGTAGCAGAGCAAAAACAGAGGAGGCGGGGGGGCTAAATAAAAAGGAAGAGTGGGTGTGTGAGTATGGTAAAGGAGGAGAGAAGGAGGAGCACATGAAAAGGAGGAGGTAGCGGTCCTTACTTTTGAACAGATGAGGTGGTCTGATAATGGGTGAAATGAAGGTCACAGAGTGTTATCACTATAAGCGTGCGAACACGTATGGACGCACGCAAGAAAACGAAGCAAGAATACAAACACAATGAGTGCATTCACGTAAATGCCACCGGCTACTTTTGCTGCGCTCCTTCCCATCTGATGGGATTAGGTGTAATCTGTTCTAATCGTGCCTTGTGTCATGCATAAATGGGATTATATCTAACTGCTGCTCAATAACACCAATATGACTGCTGCTGCTGCTGCTGGGAGGCTGAGGCTGTACGGCAGCACAACCAATCAATGAGAAATCCATCCACAACATAAACCGTGCTGGTGGCCTCCGGCTGCTCCTGACAGCAGTCCTTAGGCTGGCACAATGAGAGCGCAGAGGTATCACCTCAGTCTTTCAGCTGTGTCAGTAATCACAAATGGGGGGAGAGGTGCACGGGGTGACCGATTCACTTCTTTTACTTCATCTTCCAGTTCTTTTCTCTTTTTTTAAACTTTCCTCTTTTTCCAGTCTCTTTCGTTTTTCATTCTCTCTTTTTTTTCCCTAGCAGTATATATCTAGAGTACATCTGTATTAACTAAAGTAAATGTCAATAAGGTGATTCATCAATAATTCAGCTCGCCCTTTCCCCGAAATCTTTTATCCTCTCTCCCCTTTCTTGCCGTTTCTCTTTCTCGGCTCTATCCGCTCCCCGTTCTAGGAAAAGAGCTACTTCTGGTGCTCTCGGATCAATGAATATTTAGTTTTGGCATGTGAAGCCGTTTTCACGTCCCATCCTACACATGCTGCCCCTCCTCCTCTCCCCCCCCCAGTCTGAATTATACATCACTTATCCTAATACATTTACATTCATTAATGCTCCATTTCCAGCTGACTAGGTGTTTTACAGTCCAGTAGTGTTGGAGAGCGCTCTCTACATGTGGAGTTGACTGTTAGCAGGACGGAGACAGGAGACAGTTGACGTGCATTACTCATGTTTTAATCAAACACAAGCACTTACTCAATGAGATTAAACTCATGTGACTCACCAACTGAATGAGTTACGTTCAGTGTTTGTGCAGAGAACATTTTTCAAATGTTCCTTACAAACGTGACCCTAAAATAATCTAAAATTAGAAAAAGGACAAATTTCATGCACGGTAAACCAGTCACTGCAACTAAAACATAACTCCGTCTGTGCTTAACGATGGAGATATTTCCGCTTATCTGTCTTTAGACAAATCTTCAGATCAACTGTTTAACTTTCTCACTAAGAAAAAAAGCAATGAAAATATTCCACTTTTGCATTTGTTTTGTGTCTGTAGACACTAAAGAAGGCTGGGGAGACATTACAGCTCTTAAATTGTGTTACAAGATAAGTTTTGCTTTCTGTTCTACTAAACGAACACTAGGAGGTGCTAAAAACAAGCCTAAACTGCCTAGTCTCTCTTAAAGTACATCTGATGCTTCAATGAGACGTAGGGGCATTAGATATGTTCTACCAACTCGTTGACCAAGCAGGTAAAGGGCTAACTGGTCCCTTTGCAACTTTTTAACCCATTAAGATCAAGATTCACTTTGTGGTTGAATAAGTTATCTTTGCATCATCCAGTGGCAGGACACCATTTCCTGTAAAATGCATTTCAAACAAATGTTTTGACATTTAGTGGAATTTTTTTTAAATCATTCTCTAGTTATCCAAACTGTCCTGGCCCAGAAGCAATCAAACAGGCCAAGACCATGATACCACCTCCACCATGTTTCATTTGCAGAATGTGAATGTATTATTTTCACTTTAAACAGTGAACAAAGACCTCCTACTGACATGTTTCATAGCTGATATTTGGAGTTGAAAGAGCAGGAAAAGCTGTCTCACTAGAATATGACTTTTTCACGCATCGAATTCATGACCTTGAATTTTCACTCTGTAAAATTATGTATTGGGATTTTTATAAACTTAAAATACACCAGCAAACATTTCATCCATAAAAATTCAACAACAGAATTTCAACAGGAAAAAAAAACAACAGCAAATATTCAACAACCACAGAGGTTACCTCCTGGTCACCCAAGTCAAAGTAACCATCACTCGATTGAGTCGAGTGGCTTTTAGCCAATAACATTACACTTCTCTGATCACATGACACCAGTGAAGCATTGACTTGATCGAGTGACAGTAACTTTGGCGTGGACACCAGGAGGTCACCTCTGCGGTTGATGAATATTTGCTGTTGAATTCTGAATTTTTGCAGATGAAATTTAGATGTTGAAGATGAACTTTTTGCTGGTGTATTTTACGTTAAAGACTTCAAAAACATTATTTTACAGAATAAAACTCATAAATTTTATGTCTAAAAAAAGTCATATTCTGGTGAGACTCTCTTTCTTTCATAGAAGAAGTTTTTCACAACCTTTCACACCTTTGTCTCCCTTACTCTTTCAAATCAAGATGTCTGCTGTGAAATAGCTCTATTTGGGTCTCATTTGTTCTTAAAAAATTCAACAGTCTTATCTACAAGATATTTGGCAAACTGCAGATAAACAGAAGTGTTTCATTGGGAAACAGTCTCTTTTACGCTCTCTCTCTCTTTCTCTCCTTGCAATCTTGCCAACAATTCTTCAGTTTCCTCCTGATAGTGGACTAATGAGCCAAAAGCTAATGTAAGAACAACCTCTTATTACCTAAACGTTACCCTGAGCTTCTTCGTGGCCTCACAAACCCTTAAAGACCTTTGTTTCTTATTGAAAACCCACCCCATTAAAGTGTAATAATCTTGAATTCCCCTCTATTTGCGCACAACCTGCCTTACTGGGATGAAAAAGGTGGAGAAAAAAAACATAAATTATGTCTTTGGAACCTTTTCCAGTTACAATTAATAGATGTTTTTGAGACATAAAAAACATTTTTTGACAGATTTCATCATTGTACCAAAATATCAACACAGATTATCTTTTAGCTTCACTTCTTTATGATTAGCTTTAAAATCAGCTGCTAACCTGAGTGTTTTTAGATATGCTTGTGCCAAAAATATTATATATATATATATATATATTGGTTCCTAAATCAACACATGACAAGAAAACTGTTTTTTTTACAAGGAATCTTTTACATCATCTGCTGACTATTATTAACAACCAGTATTGGCATTAAAATGTAATCAGAAATAATCTGTATTGGTTTTTATGATTTCAATAGCTACGTTTACATGGGCACAAGTAATCGGAACAAATGCCCTATCAGATCAATAGTTCTTCACGTAAACATCTCAGTCAGAATATTCTGATCCGGTACGGCCCCATCAGAATGAAATTTCATTCCAACTGAGAGAGGTGGTTTTGTCCATTCATCATTCCGATTGGCATCCATGTACACACTAGTTCGGATTCTTGGAGTAAAACAATGCCCACTGAGCATGTGTGCAACTTCGGCGTGACATCTTTCCACCTTTGCAGACACTCAGGACATGTCGAAACATGGCGGGAGGTAAACAGAAGCTATCCTGTTCTCCTGATCTGTGGCGGAGGAGCAGTAGCAGAGGTGGGACCAAGTCACTGCTTTGCAAGTCACAAGTAAGTCAAATCTTGAGTCAAGTCCAAGTCAAAGACAACCAAGTCCAAGTCTAGTCCTAAGTCATTGATGTGGAAGTCAAGTCAAGTCCAAGTTCTTACTTTGAATTTTCAAGTCATAATCACGTCATTTGTCCAACTTCAATTTAATGACGATGATAATAAATACATTCCAGAAATAAAGCTTCTTAAAGCTTCATTTATTTGCTCAAACAAGCAGAAACTGATTCTAAACCAAGTGCAGCTGCATTTAGCAGAACAAGATCAAACCCAGAACGAAGAATGATTCATGATTTTTGCCCATGTCGTGCTACTTTTGTGCTAAAATATCAAATATGCTCAAGTCATCATCAAGTCAACAGATGCAAGATGATTCAAGTTGCAAGTGATTTTTTGTTCAAGTCCGAGCCAAGTCATAAGTCTTTATAGATTTTATCAAGTCAAGTCAGAAGTCATTAAAATAGTGATTCAAGTCAGACTCGAGTCCAAGTCACGTGACTCGAGTCCACACCTCTGAGCAGTAGCGCTACGTACCGCTGAGCCTGTAGCTTAGCGACCAGTCAAAACAAAAGCATGCAGATGAAAATGTGAAGAAGGTCTCTAACGGGGAAAAACACACAAGTTAACAGACAGATCTAGAGAATAAGAAAATAAAATGTGTGGGGAAAGACGTGCGGACAAGATGGTGTTTGTTTATAAGCTTGCTCATGCTCAACATATTTAATCTGACCAAATACTTAGTGCATGCATTTCAGTAAGTGTCCATATAAACAGAGATTTGGGATTTCCGATCAACCAAGATTACAATCGGATTGGGAAATGTGGTGCTGTTGGCCACAGAGAAAATACCACAGGGTTTAAAAACTACGAATGTGGAGAAAAAAAACGATGATATTTTCTCTTTTCACCTGGTTTTTGGCGAGGTTGTCAGCCACTCATCATGCTTCTCAAATGTGATGAGATATGCAGCGATCTCCTAGACAGGCAGAGAAAAAGACAGAGGTTATTCTAGTTTGTGTGTGTGTGTGTGCGTGTGCGTGTGTGTGTGTGTGTGTGTGTGTGTGTGTGTGTGTGTGTGCGTGCGTGCGTGCGTGCGTGTGTGTGTGTGTGTGTGTGTGTGTGTGTGTGTGTGTGTGCATCACTGATAGTGTGTCGCCAGGAGATAAAACATAACAGGTATTTCCAGATGACCTGCTGATGCCCATAGAGAGTGTGTCACTATCTGATTGCCAAGGTGAGGTCGGAGTGCCTGATTGGTCACAGAGTAGCCAGTCAGGAGACAGATGCAGAGGACAGACCCTCAGGGCTGACAACCAATCACACTCCCCAACACACACAGATGTTCCCCTCCATTGGGGAGGAAAGGCTATCTACTGAATACACACAAGTGTGATATAAAAACACACACAAAGACACATGCACACACACAGGGGGTGCAGACCTCATATGCCAGCTGAGAGAGTGCGCTGATAGGAAAAGTTTTCTCGTACTCTGCAGTTTCACACTTTCCCGTCAGATAAAAACCCGCTCCTAACTCGATTCCTAATTCCTCTGGCTCTCATCTCGTCTCCTTGGCTCTCCTCTTCACATCTCATCTTCATCCACACTCATATAAAACCAGTAAGAAAATAAAAGCTCAAACCATACAGGAGCATTTTACCAAAAGCGGAAAAAAAAAAACAGCCATACACTCGCTTGCAAACAGAGACACCGAGAGCTGCATTCGAACAGAAAAACCGTGTTTAGACCTCCCGCTTTTGAAACTCCGCCTTTTTCCTCTTTGCTGGCTGAACCTCCTCACCTCTGCTTTTCTTTCTCAGACTTCATTCTCAATCCGTCTATCACTGACTCCCATCTCACCCACTTGTTGTGAAAGACTATGAAATGTAAATTATCCTCTTAAGGCAATCAGCTTTTGAAATGAGGCACAAAGCAACAGCGAGGATGACATCAACACTCTGACAGTCCTTCATCTGCCCCCTCTCTAGACTTTGTTATCCTACAAGTGTGTGTGTGTGTGTTTGTCCCAGGTTGGCATGAGAGCACTCCAGATCGACACAGATATGACAAAAGATTGGAGTTTGGTGGTGGTGGAGGGGGGATAGGAGGCGAGAGAGCAAAAGACAGAGCAGCTGGAGGCACTGGCACTTATCTGGATCGTTTCTTTGTTTTTTTGTGTTTTTAGTATCCTCTGTTTGCTCCACACCTCCAAATCCCCCCGCTGCCTCTTCTTCAATCTATAGAGGTGTTTATATACTTTATGTATGGCAGGGGATGGGCTGTTATCACACCTTTAATAGTTATCAGAATCAAGTTGGCTGCTATTAACGTCTGTCTGCCTGTCTGACGCGCATTAAGCTGCTCAGATGTCTCCACACAGGCACACTTTTAGGCATAGCTTAGCACCACAACACACACACATAAACACACAAGGAGTGCCTCATTCGTTTATGCATCTATTCATTAGCTGTGACAGGCAGCCACCTCTCCTCCTCCCAAACCACTCCGCAGCAAGTCAATATCCTATTCGGCCTCCACAGCTCCGGCCAGGCACTCTGGCTCCCCTAGTGACTGTCAGCCAGTGGGAGGCGGGAGGAGAGAGGAGAAGGAGCGAGGGGACGAGGGAATGGGTGAGACAGAAGGATGGGAGGATTAAGATGGAGAGAGAGAGAGACTTACAATTAAAGGCCTGCCCCATAAGAGCCATTAAAAAGCCAGAAACAGAGGAGTCAGCTGAAAAGGCAGCCTGACACACAGTCTAAAACACACCCACACACATAAAGTAATGCACACACACACTGCTGCTCGCTCCCCTGGCAGTGCGTGCAAACTCACACACGCACACACACGCACACACACACACACACACACACACACACACACACACACACACACACACACACACACACACACACACACACACACACACACACACACACATGCCCATGTGAAGAGTGACAGAAGTGAGTTGGTGAAGGTCGATCCTCAGGAAGTCGCGGCTATTGTCCCAGTGGAAAAAAGTGATGGAGCACTGTGAGCATGCCTGGCGACACACTGACCCTTCAGGAATACTCTGAGTGAAGGTATGTGTGTGTTTTCACGTGCATGCATGTGTGTGTGTGTCTTAGCTGTGTCAGACACATGGGCAGGGAAAACCCTCTTCCTCCAGGGATCTTCTCAAGAGAACCCAGACGCTCTGCATGTCTGTGTGATTCTACATAATAATGCATTACGACAGGCCCAACCAAATGCATGCACTCGCTTCTCCTCTAACAAACACACCTCTTCCTGCCGCGGTGTGTGTATGTGTGTGTGTGTGTGTGTGTGTGTGTGAGGGTGAAAAAGAGAGAAAGAGGGAGAGTTACTTAAGAAATATCTAACAAAGCAGAGAGCATGAGTGGGAAGTTAGATTGGAGCGAGAGCTGCAGTTGGGGAAATCAGCCTCCCACTCACGCATCACTGAGACCATCTCCCTCCGAGAAACTAGTGGCATGTACAGAGAAGCAGACAGACACACGCATGTACACATGCAAACACACACGCAAGGCCTCAGGGAGATTACCAGTGGTGAAGTGGGACTTTTGAAGGGTAGGGGTGTCGCCTACAATGAAACAAAGTTATCCACCAGCTCTTCCCGGGGAGATTCCACCCTTCAGGTCTAGCCATAGGCTTATTTTGGAGCTATATATATATATATATATATATATATATATATATATATATATATATATATATATATATATATATATATATATACACACATGTGTGTGTGTGTGTGTGTGTGTGTGTGTTTGGTGTTTGAAGTCTAATGACAAGCATTGCCCCACCCCCCAACGGAGATCTGGGGAAAACAGAGCTGTCGTCAAACTGGAACTGTCACATCCATTCGAAGTGCCTCCAATGAAAGCTGCCGCTGGCTCACAACAAAAATCATTTGGCACTGAGTAGTTTGTTTTGGCAGAACAGGAGGTAACAAACTCAAGCATCCTTTTCAACTACACAATCCATAGCTGCCTCTCTCCTTGAGCATGGCAGGTCCTGCGTGGTATGTGTGTGCATGTGCGCATGTGTGTGTGTGTGTTAGGGTGAAGGAAGAGCTACATTAGCATCAGGACCAGGGGAGGTCTGCTGATGCTGTAATTTCCTCCCATACGCTCCTCCCTTGGTCCTCTCCTTCCCAGAACAGCCCCGTCAGTGTCTGATGTTGATGGCCTCTCTGTCTGAAACTGCCATTGCTTCTCAATTTATTTTTGTTATTGTTATTACGATTTGGGCTGCTCTGTGGTCTTTATTCTGATCCAGTCACATTTTTGAGGCCTTACATTTGACACATTTTCATCTCATTTTGCTCACATCTTTCCGAAAGACTCCTCAAGTTGACAACGGCAGCTTTGAGCTGAGACCGCACTCTGTCAAAGTTGACAGAGTACTTATGTTGTCCTGACTGACCTCTAAAGCACCACTGTCATGGAGCAGTAGCTGCTGTTCCGAAGCCGCTGACTGCAAAAACAAATGTGGATTCAGATTTGTCTGTGATCTACTTTAAGGTAACAAAAATGATGCAAACTGAACAAAACGTGTCTAGTTTGCATCATGTTTCTGTAATGTGGCTTTTAAAACATGCAGCATAATGAGTAACTAGAGCACTTCTGAAGACATTTTGAAGGTTGCCAGTGCAGCTGCTGCCTGGAACGTCTGCTTGGAATTCATAATAATCTAAGCTAAGGCCAAACGCATGCTTTTGATCTATGAACTGTGTCTGAAATATAAAAGAACCAAGATGACTAGAAATGTTAAAGCTTCTGTTTGTGGCTCATGGGGTAACCATGGTAACCTGACACTAGGATTTGAGAGAAAACAATAAATTCAATAGCAGTAAGCTACCCATCAGGTTCCTCCTGAAGATAGTGAATCTGCTATGTAAGCCCACATAACTGCTTCAGGAGTCCATTAGCACTCACACATGGGCTCCAACCTCAAGCCTGCCTCCAGAGTGGGACACTGGTCACCCTCTGGACAAGGTACTCTGGTTATACTCCCAGACAACATTAGGGCACTCAAACCCCTCCTCTACGGTAAGGTGGCTGTTGTCGGACTACAGAAAGCTTGAGGAGCTCAGAAATCCAGGAAAGACTCTGAGTAGAGCCGCTGCTCCTCCACATCGAGAGGAGCCAGCTGAGGTGGTTTGGGAATTGATTGAGAAAGCCTCCTGGATGCCACCCAGTGGAGGTGTTACAGGTATTTCCTGTCAGTAGGAGGCACTAGGTGGACCCAGGACATGCTGGAGTGATTATATCTCCAGGCTAGCCAGGGAATGAATTGGGATCCTTTTGGTGGAGCTGAGGGAAGTTGCTGTCAAGAGAAAGCATTTTAAACCTCCTTGCAACCTGTGTTTATGTAACACCTTCTACAGTCCTATAGCCCCCCCCCCCCCCCCCCCCCCCCCCAAGGTAATTTACAAAACAACATTCATCCATTCACTCACAGGTTGCCACAGCCACCCTCAGGCACACTGACAAGAGGTCCCTCTGACCACTATCATCAGAAAAGGTAGAAGTGTCTTGCCCAAGGGCTCGACAACAGTGACAGACTGAGTGGAGCGTGAACCTGCAACCCTCTGCCATTGCCACCCCCTCCAAAATACCAGTTCAGTCATGTTTCTCTGTCCCATTTAAACCTAAAATGGCGTTTCTACTGTGATTTCTAAGCTTGTAGGCGGGGTTAGTTCACCTGCTTTACCAACATGGTCAGGAGGAAATTTCTAAAACTTTCTTTGTGATTTTTATTTAAATCATACATGTTAATGCCTTAAACGTATCTCAGCACACTGACTGAACTGAATGCTCTGATCTATAATTTGAATGTTTTTATTTCAAAGCGTGAAAACAAAAAAAATCACAACAGAAACATAAACAGGACAGTAATAATGGTGCTTGGACTCTTGTGCGCTGGCACCCTTGGATGACAGGATCATTT